TGTTAACTAAAAATCAGGATGATTTGATGTCTTTTTATACTCCTACATCATCTGATAGATGAATATAGCTCGAGGTGGATGTATGACATCGAGCTATATTCATCACTGCAATTTGAACTAATTTTGAACATCAGAACTACTGCATAAAGATGCGAATAAAAATATATATAAAAATAACAATATTTGTTTTCAATGTACAAATTGTTCAAACAAACCTAGTTAAACCTAATCAATAGGTTTAAATAATATTCAGAAACGTATACCAAAGAAAAATCTAAAAAATGAACACAATTACTCTTTTTACTTGAAAAAAATGTACTTAAGCTAATGAATATAATAAATTATAAAGTGTATTGTGTGAAGAATACTATGAATGCTGTATTGAAGTTATGCATCATGTGATTAGTTAACTTAGTATCACTTACCTTTTAAAATGTCAATGTCAAACTAACAAATAATTTTGTAACAAATTAGTTCATTCACACATAGCAATGTATCATAAGATATATTGATAAGATTTCATTAATTAGTAGTTTTAATCATTTAATTTGAAATATTTTCATATGAAAAATAAGTACTTTTCATCTTGATAAGTAACAATAAACTAAAGTGAAATACTGTGACAGTTAATTTGCACCTTTCAATCTGTTACCTTTTGACGGTTATTGCTTAACTTTGTAAAACCTCAACGTTAACAAAAAAAAACATTTTTATTAGCAAAATATGAATTGTTGCAACTAAATATATTATAACCAATGTTGTCGTTTCTCGCACATCTTCATACTTTGATTCATTGAAAGCAAACGTTACAAGCATTCTATTTGTTATAAACTTTTGAACTAATTTTAAACAACTAAACTACTCGTAGATACGAATACTATGAATGTTTGTTGTAATTCCATTTTATTCTTTTTCAGATAGTTTTAGCTCTTTCAAACCATGTTACAAGCTTGTAATCCTTGAATTTTGAAATAATTATGAGAATCGGAACTTATACAAAAAATTACCTTCATTTCCCAATATAAATATAATATTTTATTACGTTAATTTTAATTATTTATGTAAATGTTGTAATAAATATTTTGATGAGGAAATTACACAAAATATTCTAATTATAATTGTTTTGTAAATGAACTGTGTGTTTGTGCATCTGTATTTTCGTCGGTGTCGCGTTCGTTTAGTCGAAGGGGAGCGACGAACAATGAATGAGGCGGAGGGAGAAAGTTGCTGAGAAAATTTTGTAATTAGAAACTTTAAAAAAGAATTTAATTAATGTTTGCCTCTTAAATTACCCGAAGGATGTAGAAGAAGTAGTAGTAAGAGGAAGAGGAGGATGGAGAGAAACGATCCGAAACACCTGAGGACCTAAATAAATAATGGAACTCGATGAATGCAACTGGAGGGAATGCATACACTTTTCTGTTATGCGTCTCATTAAAATACGTTTTCCGCTCCGAGGAAAACGTCTTGAAATCTTGTTAAGTATCTTTAAACACTAATCATTCCTTTTTCTCAAATGTACACTTTTATTTCAATATTATTTTTTTAATTTAACCAAATTTTATTGGAATTTCTCAAGATCTTCTTCTTAAAATTATTTTTTTTTTTGCTTTAAGTTAATAAGATTTATTATATTAACTCATAAAGTATCGAATGCGTTCAATTTTCTGTTGCATAAAGCCATAAGAATAATTGACATATGGAAATTTTACAATCTATTGTCACGTCTTCACGTTTTATTTAATTACTCGATAACCACGTACTCTAATTAGAACATTGAATATACAAATTTAAGAAAAAACTATGGTCTTTCCAATGAGCCTACTTCCAGATGCGTGGTATTTAGTGTTCTTTTATAGTGAGCTGTCAAATTGGAAAATGCGCAGTCTTCACGTTTTATTTAATTATTCGATAATCACGCTTGTCAATTACATCATCAAATAAGAATATTATAAATTAAACTACAATTTTTTCAATGTAGCTACTGAAAAGTATGAGTCTTCTTCCAGATATGTGGTATTTAGTGTTTTTTGTAGTGAGCTGTGAATTTGGAAAATGCGCAGTCTTCACGTTTTATTTAATTATTTGATAACCACGCTTGTCAATTACATCATCAAATAAGAATATTGTAAATTAAACTATAATCTTTTCAACGTAGCTACTGAAAAGTATGAGCCTACTTCCAGATATGTGGTATTTAGTGTTCTTTGTAGTGAGTTGTCAAATTGGAAAATGCGCTGTCTTCACGTTTCATTTAATTATTTGATAACCACGCTTGTCAATTACATCATCAAATAAGAATGTAAATTAAACTATAATCTTTTCAACGTAGCTACTGAAAAGTATGAGCCTACTTCCAGATGTGTGGTATTTAGTGTTTTTTGTAGTGAGCTGTCAAATTGGAAAATGCGCAGTCTTCACGTTTTATTTAATTATTTTTAGATAACCACGCTTGTCAATTACATCATCAAATAAGAATATTGTAAATTAAACTATAATCTTTTCAACTCAGCTACTGGAAAGTATGAGTCTACTTCTAGATCTGTGGTATTTAGTGTTCTTTTATAGTGAGCTGTCAAATTGGAAAATGCGCAGTCTTCACGTTTTATTTAATTATTTGATAACCACGCATGTCAATTACATCATCAAATAAGAATATTGTAAATTAAACTATAATATTTTCAACGCAGCTACTGAAAAGTATGATCCTACTTCCAGATGTGTGATATTTAGTGTTATTTAATTATTTGATAACCACGCATGTCCATTACATCATCAAATAAGAATAATGTAGATTAAACTATAATCTTTTCAACTCAGCTACTGGAAAGTATGAGTCTACTTCTAGATCTGTGGTATTTAGTGTTATTTGTAGTGAGATGTCATATTGGAAAATGCGCAGTGTTCACGTTTTATTTAATTCTTTGATAACCACGCATGTCAATGACATCATCAAATATGAATATTGTAAATTAAACTATAATCTTTTCAACTCAGCTACTGGAAAATATGAGTCTACTTCCAGATCTGTGGTATTTAGTGTTATTTGTAGTGAGATGTCAAATTGGAAAATGCACAGTCTTCACGTTTTATTTAATTATTTGATAACCACGCTTATTAATTACATCCTCAAATATGAATATTGTAAATTAAACTATAATCTTTTCAACGAAGCTATTGGCATGTATGTGGTACTTTCCACTATCTTGCAATAAACTGTTGAAATAAAGATATTTTTTGCAACCTCAGACTAAAAAAAAAAGTTAGTTCCGTGTCAATATCGTGATAAATTTAAATACAGGAAATAGTTGAATTCAATTTGGGAACTTATCGAGAGATTGGGGTGGAGAGTTGGGTGGAGGTGACACGAGAATTCCGCATATTGTTTCTCGCCAAAATTGGAATCGTGGAATCCCCAATTAGTTCCGCTTTGTACGTTCGCATCTAATTTCTTGGGTCCGAGCCGAGTAGTTCAAATTGCAGCAGACACAATACCTGCGCTACGTACAAGTAAAACCACCGAAATCCTCAGGAAGGAGATAGGTGAAAATTTAACGTTCCGAGCGAAAATCTCGCCTAATCCAGGATTTGCGTTACGTAATGCCAAGATACAATGCCCCCTCTATACACACACATAGAGAGAGAGAGTTTAATCCTTGTCTTTGTATGCAGAATGAAAATTTCGAACAACTCTTTATAAGTTTGCATAAATAATTTGCGGAATAAGTGAAATAAGGAGATTTTCAAGTTCACTTTGCGGCGCTTTATCGGACATGCTTTATATTCCGTTCCGTCGTTCGTTACGTGCCGGAAGCGGAGCAATAAATAATCCCCCCACAGTTACATATTTATGTTGCCAAAAAAGAGCGGAAAATAGAAGAAAAACAACGAACAGGGGGTGATGGGGGATGAAGCAGAGAAGCAATGAAACATCCCTTAGCAAAAAAAAAACGGGCCATCGCTTCGCACGCGACCGTCCTCAATCCGACAAAGAGATATGAACAAGACCATTTGATATTTATATTCCGCTCTCTTCCTGCAGACATTCCATTACATCTTCTTAATTAAAACACGTCCATCCATCCAAATTAACCCTCGCACGATCAATCATCGTCAACTTGAGTCTCCCTTATTTTCAATATTTACCTTAACCGAAAAGTTGTATTCAACTTCTCACAGTTTTATCTTTCACATAATTTATCCAATTTTTTTTTCTATAGTTTCAAGGGAAATGTTTCAAATAAAATCTCAAAAAAATAAGTTAAGTTTGTTCATATTAATTAATAATTTTTTTTTTAATAAACGTACATTTATTTACAAAAATCAAATACAATAAAAATCGATATTCGTTTATAATATATTATTTACAACATATATAATATAGAAATTAATGTTATCCATTTTCTTTATTATTTTTTTTTTTCATATACTTATCTCGAAAAAACTTACGCTTAAGTCTCCTAACTATACAAAAATAATAGAAATTAACCATAGTAAAAGTAGTATAGTCTTATTCGATTGATGTTCGGTTGTTTTCCTCTTCATTCCCTCTTGGAGAAACAAAGAAGGACAAAATATTGTTTTAAAAAAAAAATAGAAATTGAAAAGAATTTCCGCTTGGAAAATGCTATGTACAGAAAACAATTATTATACACGTTCAAATAACTAATAATAATAATAATAATATTTATATAATAAAAAAAAATAATTCATCATTATTTCTTCCTTTCAATTCTGTTTTTTTTGTCATTTGTTTATTATATTTAATTAAAAAAATATATTTAAAAAAAAACAGCGGTGTTCTATTCTTGTTTTTTTTATCTTGTATTCTTTTGTTTTAATTGTTTTGAGATCATTCGTATTGAATATTGTTTGATGCGTTCAATCAATAAAAAAAAAGTTTGTTACTGTTTAAAAAAAAAAACAAAGAGTGACGCGAATAAAATAAAAACAAAAAAATAATGGCAGTCCAAGAGGTTTTTGTTTTGTTTTGTTTTTTCTTCTTCTTTAACATTTCCTCTTCTTCGTATGAGACGGAAACGATTCGAAACACGCATTTAAGTACTCAATGCGAAGGAGGGAACGACTCGTCCGGTCCGGAGTTTTGGCACGAAAATAAAAAAAAAAGTTGAACTAAAATCGAACTGTCGAATTTTCGGAATCCTGCGACGCGGATTCGGCGTCGCAGGATTCCTGAAAATCGTTTGGATTTGGAACCGCTCGAGCCGTTCGTCCTTCGAATTAAACATAATAATATTATATATATATATATAAAAACCAAGACAACGATTGGTTTCTATACAACAAATTACTTATTGCAAGTATAATCACATTTCCATGGAAACAAAAATTAATAAACAATTGTTCGTATTGCTATGTAATTGTTCGAGCTCGCTCCACGTTACACGATTCATTTATATAAATTGATAATAGTTATAATAAAACATACAAAAATTCTCACACTCTTTCGGACGAATCGAGCAATGGCAAAAACATCCTTTTTTCCTTTCACATTCTTCATTCACCTCGCGTATTATTACAGGTATATCACTCACAAAATGGCGCTCCGAAACAACAAAAAAAAACAACTTCCATTCGAACAGAGAACATAATAAACATCCATTAAAAGAAATAATAATAAAACAAACAAATAAATAATATAAGTGGTTCCCTCAGGTACACGTGAAGAGAAATCAATTTTTATCCTTATGTTTTTTTTTATCTTGCAATTTTTTTCCCGTCCGCCGAAAAAATCTCCACTTTTCTTTCTCGGAAAGCACTGTCTCTCTCGCTCTTAGGATCCTACACGATATTTTCATAGTAATTAATACAAATTAGTTAGAAAATGAAACGTCCGTTTGGTCGTCTTCTCCTATCCACGCTGATATTACATATCTATACATATATATTCTTTATTCCTTTTCCTCGTTACTTCTGCATCTTTTTTTTCCGTCTTCTTCTACCACGTCTTCTTCGTTCTGTTTATTGTTAAGTGTGATGGTCTTCCTTCCGCCTTGAGCAGTTCGCGGATTTAGACGATTATTTCTCGGATGACCCTCCTCGTCCTCGAGTTGGGGGTGGAATATCCGCTCTCCAAACTTTCCTCGTAGTTCAGGGACATGTGCTGAGGTGGCTTTTCATCCTCCAATTGCTCCAAGTAGGGATCGGGCAGGCCGCTGACATCGTGATACGGCGAATCTGCAATTTAAAGTCCCGAATAAAATTAACATGTTTTCTTCTTCAGTTTTCTTTTCTCTCTTCCAGATAGAAATATATATAGAGAGAGAATCCTGCAGCTCGTGTGTGCGCGCAATTATGCACCATGCACGGAAGGATACGGGTGGCTCAGGTTTTCAGCCTTTGAAAACTCCCGTATTACAAATTGTAATGCAGAAAAAGCAATGTTCTTGTATTCTTTGCCGCGGTATGTTGAAATATATAAGTTTTCTATATTTTTTTTTGCCGACTTTGAAACCAGATCGCATTTTTATATAACTTCATCTCAAAACCTGCTGCTGCCGCTTCTTTTCATCATTTTATCCTCGGGTTTTACAAAATGCAGTTTTATACTAATGTAATTGAATGGTTGTTTTTTTTTGTCGGTTTTGTTATTATTTATAATTACTAGTAAAAGCTTTCACCCTGAGCTCTAGTATTACATGGAATTACGGCCGCATTGGGAATTTAACAAAAAAAAAAAAAAATAAATGTAAATAAAAATAATGCAGGAAAATGCGGAGCAGCGCGCAAATGGAGAAATGCAAAACAGGAAAACCGTTTGCATATATATTTAACGAGATTAATTCTACGTTATTGAAATTATTGCAAACGATTTTAGCATTTTATAGATTCGTTAATCCTGATTAAACATTGAAAATATACAACAACAAAAAAATTAAACAGCATAGAATTTGCAAATAGGGGGAATTGATTTAACGGGAGTTTACATTTAGCAAAGTTTGTAAAATATTTGAATGCACTAGATGCATACGTTCCAAGTGCAAAATCGTGTTATGTGAAGTGACTAAGATTTAATTGAGAGTTACGTTATAAAGTTGTTAACTAATTGACAGTTTAGTTGTTACCATATTGATTTATACTTAAGTTTTGTTTTTAATTCAGTATTTAATTAGTGTTTTAGATGATATTAAGGATTATTGAACTATTTTAGTTAATTGCAAAATTAGTTGTAAAACTCGTATAAAGATTGAGTATTTCATGATTGTTGAACTTACCGATATGCTGTTCAATGCGTTTCTTGGGTTTGTGGACGGCGGCGTAGGGATCACTGCAGTAATCCTGTCTGGATGGATTGTTGCTGTTCCTCATGTACTCATCACCGTGGTTGCTCTGCGTCGTGATGTGCGGATAGGGAGCGTAATCGTCGACGGCGCCGTAACCACCGTGGGTGATGGGATCGTATCCGTAGGAATTCTGACGATCCACGTTCATGTGCGGTGGCAATTGGTTGACGGAATTGTTTGCGGCTGCGGCCATCTTCATCTGCCACAGGGAATCTTGAGAGTTGACGCTGCCGCCGTTGTTCGAGTTGGAGTAGCTGTTTTCCAGATAGCCCATGTTCGCCCCTGCAGAAGTAAAAGAAAATTACATGAATTGTTTGGAAATCAATGGATGGGAGTGCACGTACAATCGCCGTTATTGATGTTTTGTCTGCCTTGGATGTCGGGATTGGCGACGTGATAACCATATCCGTTCTGCGTGGCGTACACGCTCTTCTGATCCTCCATGGTTAAGGCCAAATCGAGTGAATGCTCGAGCGCTTTGTTCTCCATTCCCGTTGAGGGATAGTACGGTGGAGGCGCCTGGTTCTGTTGGGTCATCGTCGGTCGGACGGAGTCCATCTCGTAGTCCTTGCTCTGGGTCTTCTTGGTTTGATTACGTTTGCATCTGCAGAACATCAGAAGGAGTCCTACAAAGAGAACGAAGACTATGCACGAGACGACTATGGCTATTAAGGTTGGTGTAGCTAGAGCTGAGGCTTCCTTGATGTAAGCGTGACCGACTGTAATTAAAAAATAAAATTGTTAAATTCTGATTCATCTTCGATGATCTGCTTTAAAGAACTTACGTTCTGCGTCCACGAAATTGCCGCAATGTTCGTCGTGCGTCCTCAAGCAGAACTTGACGCGGATCTTGGATGAGTAATCGTCGTTGACGCCGATGGGTTCGTCCGCAAGAGATCTTCCGCTGACTTTGTAACTTCTCGCGATGAGCTGCTCCAGGTTGGCTTCCTTATAAGTCGGCGTGAGTCCGGATACTTGTAAGGGAAGAGTATCGATGACCTGCCACGAGGGTATTGGCAAATCGTGTCCAAGGGATTCGACAACGGCGACTAATGGAAGGCAAGTTATCGGAATGTTAATGGACAAAGCGTGTGTGGCCGGGTCATAGGCCACTCGATCCGGCAGCGGGATCCGGTCCACTCGGGTCGTCGCGCTGATTTCCTGCGAGTTCTCGCTCTGCCCTTGCGTGTTCAAAGCTTTCACCTGGGAGAAAAGGAGCAAACGAAAAAAGAAAAAAAATGTAATGTAATCGAGTTAATAGGACGCACGTGGCTCGCAAAATACCTTAAAAATGTAGCTCTGATGTTGATCTAAATGGGACACGTTGCACGGGACATTCTGGTGGCAATCCGCCTCCGACCAATCCGCAGCCTTCGTGATCGTTCCGCAACCCTCCACGATGATGTTATCATTTCCGGGCACCTTCTTGTACGAGACAAAGTATTTGGTGTTCGCAATGCCTCCGTTGAATCCGGGCTCCCAATTCAGTGTAACGAAATTATGTCCGACGTGGACTGCAGTCACCTGCGTCGGTTTCTCCGGCGCGCCCTTCTTCTGCAGACGAATCCTGGCGTCGATGCTGCCCAGATCGTTCACCACTTGGCAATTGTATTCGCCGTAATTGTGGTTCTTTATGTCGGATATCTTGAGGACACTCGTGTACACGTCATTGGCATCGATCGAATTGCTGATCACGTAATTGCCCTCGGAGGACGTGGTCAGTGGGTACTTGTTGGAACCGTAGTACCATTTGAATTCGGGTTTCGGGTATGCCTGAATCTTGCACACGACCTCAGCCGTCTCCCTTACATCGTAAGCCACTTTGTTGTATTGATGAAGGATTATCGGTTTATCTGAAATCCAATTACCGTTGCAATTACTACGTTTAGATTACATGCCTAATCAACAATAAGCAAAACATCTTAACTAATTGCATCTGAATTAAAGTACAATTAAATTCTTATAAAATTTTCAAACTTTTAAACAATTTCAATTAATTATATTTAAAAAACTAATAGATTCTTAATGGAAATTTAAAAGAAAATAATATTGTGGAAAGTTTAAACTAACATTATGTTTTGAGATAGAAGCAATTTCAGTGAGTTGAAATACGGGAGGAAATAAAATGAGTGGCAATATATAAATGTGTGTTTGACTTACGTTCGATTCTCAAGTGCATTGTGGATTCGGTCTTCTTGACTTCGTTCTCGAAGGAGCAGGAGTACGCTCCGCGATCGGATGGAAGCAGTTCGTTTCCGCCCGGCCGCGCTTTTCCTCTGAACTTCAAGATGCTCTGCACGCTGACCGCTCCGTTGCTGGACTCGGTGAGTTCGGGGATGACCTCGTAAAGATTGGTGTCCGCAGTTAATTCTTCACCGTCTTTCAGCCACTTGACGAATGGTTTCGGTTTGCCTTTAGCGCTGCAGGCGATGGAGAAGTTCTGGTCGCCGACTCGTTTCGTTTCGGATGGTTTCAGCTTGAATTTGAAACTCGGTGGTTGGTAAACTTCGAGGCTGATGGAAGAGATCTCGCCGGGTCCGAGCTCGTTGGTGGCTTGACAGTGGTAGGTGCCTTCGTTGGAGATCTGAGCGTTGGAGATGGTGTATTGAGATCTGGTGCTGAGAACGGTCATCTGTCCGTCGTTGTTGGCGCGCATCCAACGGTACTGAGGTTTCGGCCATCCTGGAGGAGTCGCGGTGCAGCTGAGAGTTACGGGTGATCCTTCCGTCGTGACAGGTTTGTCGGGTGTTATCCTGGCTTTCCCCGGCTTGTGGCGGATGAGTAAAGCTATAGATTCGTTGGTGACTTTCTCGGTTCTTCTGGTCGGGAAAGCGCTGGGCGTGATGACGTTGACGGCGCGACAGATGTAGGTGCCGGCGTGGTCTGCGGTCACGCTGTTCAGATGCAGAGTGTCTCCGGATTGCCGGAAATCCGGTTTTCCTTCGAGCACCCATTCGACGGTCGTCGGTAAGGGATTCGCGGTCACGTTGCATTTAATCGTCACGGCTTCACCCTCTTCCGCCTCCTTGGTCTTCGCCTCCAGAGTGATGATGGGAGCGAACAGCACGTCCAACTCGATCTCCCTCTCACCGATCTTCCCCAAGTTATTGTCCGCGCTGCACGTGTATTTACCCGCATCCTGAATGCTGACCCTGTGCAGGGCGTGTGTGTACGAAGTGCTGATGACGCGTCCGTTCCTGGTCCAACGAACATCCGATACCTTTGGTTTAGCATCGACGGTGCACTGAAGCGTCGTCGGAGAGTCCCTTTCCACTCTCAGAGGATTCTCGGGTCCGACCTCGACGCGCGGAAAATCTGAAGAAAACAGTTTATTTTAACTCTAAAATATCAGAACAGAGTGCGATGAGTTAATGAACTGCACACACGGCAGTGAATTCTCCGCAGCCTGCGAAAACAAACAGTCACGAACAAGACGCATCCGGTTTTCGGCGACGGGCCGAGAGAATTCGCCAGATGTTGGATAAAGAAGGCGCACAAATCAAAAATAACTTCTTCAGAAATAGATTCAATTACCAGCCAGAAAGAGAGAGAGATATATATAGAGAGTGTGCAGGTTCATTAATTGAACTGTATAAAATCTCGGCGGAAATATCCAGAAACGCGCGCTCCATAAATCATGGATTTTAATGCGTTTCGAATGAGAGAAGGAGAGAGAGAAATAGGCAAAAACGGAAGAGAAGGAAACGGTTAATGATGGCGTTGGGAGAGTTCCTAAAGATACTTTTGGGTTGACTTACAATTGACGCTCAGCGTGACGTTCGTCCTGAACTTATTCCCTTCGGGCATTGCCCTGTTCCACACCTCGCACCGAAAAACTGCATCATCGTCCTCCTTTGTGGGCATTATAGACAGAGTGGCCGTCGTCGGATGGTCCCTAGATCCTCCATTCTTTAACGATGACTCCAAGGGATACGTCGATCCTAACGGAAACAATTCAAAAAATATTCAATATGAATTAATACATTCACAAAAACACAAACTTAATAATTATAAGATAATATCATTAAATTCAATTACAGGACATTTTTATCACAATTAGCAATAAATTAAATCTATGTGGCAAGTCAGAAATGTTACGCTTTTTATGTTTGTGTTGGATTATTTGGATGTGATTGTAGTCTTCCTTAGTACCTTTCCTATTCAGGACAACTAATAATAATTGCATACATAAAAGATATACACAATGGGCATTGACAAAAATAAATTAATTACTTGAATGTGAGGAAATTTTCAAGGACGCAACATTTTATGTTGTCATCACTCCGTTTCCCATATTCAAATTTATGTAAACCAGCTTAATCCTCGATGCCCGGCTTAGGCTGTGGAAGGAGGAGGACCTTTCCTCTTCCACACATGGTAATTAAATGAATGTCACATGCAAATGTCAATTAGCTAGGAAAATTTCACCGCTTCGTTCTCGCACACTATTTACAATTTGCATTTTCGGTTAAGTTTCGATCGGAACGCGTAAACCATCCAACCAATTCCCGTGGAAAGGGCTCGGTTAGATGGATGGAAAATATTTGATTGGGAAAGTTTTCCGGCAGCTGAACTCCATTTTCTTCCTCTCGTTTTTTTTTTACTTACTTTCAAACACAAAGACGCCAGACGAAGGGAAAGCGCGAGAGCAAAAAAAAATAAAAATGTATGGAAAAACTTTGACGAGTGCAACAAGTTCGACATGTTAAATTTACGAAATGAATTACGTGGAGACATGAATACAAAGACTGTGAGGGAGGGTTGAAACAATTATTATGCCGGAATTAAAAGTTATTAATTCCGTGGAAGTTCTGCCATTATAGAAAAAAAAGAATGTGATTGGAAAAGTTTTTGGGATTTTGGCTTACCTTCTCTGTACCATCTGACTACTGGGTCCGGGGAACCGCCGATGCTCGAGCACGTCAACTCCATCTTCTTGCCTTCGGTGGAGGTCACGTAAGTGCCCGGGGTCACGGTGGGAATCTGGGGTGCTGTGAGCACGGTGAGGGTGTAGTTTTGGGCGTGAAGATTCGCGCCGGAACCGCCCGCCTTCACTTTGCATTCGAACTCGCCGTTGTCGCGATCGTAGCTGGTGTTGGATATCAGTAAATCGTAGATACCCTTTTCAGGCTGAAAGTTCAATCTGCAAAGAAACAAAACAAATGCATTCTTTAATACAATATTAACATTGATTTGTTTTATAAAAAATAATTGGATCTTGTCTGTTGATCTCTGTCTTCGTTTTTAAAGATTAATCGGCTTTTCTCGTGAAACTACCAGCAGCATCTTCGAAGAAATAGGATCCAATTAAGCCTCTGGACCAAATTCCTAAACTCTACCATCATCATTCTGCAAGATTCTTAAACTTATTTATGAATCATTTATAAGATTTATAAAATTAATTGCTCATTTATGAATAAATTGAAAACTATTTTTTGTCAAAATTGAATGAAAATAAGTACATTTTCATTAATCTTAATTAATTGCTCTTTAAGAATGATGCAACGTTTATAACATACTAAACTTTCTCAATCTAATATTCAATGAACATAAATCTTCTCAAAGTTGACAGGATGATGCGAATCTCGAGTGGAGTGAATAGAAGTTTCTTAATAAAAGGGCAGTTGTACAGAGTCGAGGCTGTGATTAATTCATTTGCGCCAGGAAAGATCAAGAAAAAAATTATTTATTTATCCGTCTGCAGACGGGCAACATCCGTTTCCCACGACCATTCTCTCTCTATCTTCTGGTCTTAAGAAACAATGGGCGACGTGAGATCTGGAAGAATTCGTCTTTAAACTGACTTTTTTTCTTCTCTCTGTTTGTACTTTAAATATTCGGAAAACGTTCGGTCGATTGTTTATTCAGAGGATAAGCGAAGGCAGGATGAAAAAAAAAAGAGTATATATTGTACACGTTGTAATGTAATTGTGAAAAGCGGAGGGAGAAGTGTATCGCGTTTCACACGGCCTTTTTGAATACTGATATTCTATACGGAATGTGTGTGTGTGCGCTAAAATGGAATAAAAATGAACGTGAGGAGCGAATTTTAAAATACCTGTAGTTGTTATCCAGTGGAACCTTCTCGATTGCGACGTTGTCGTAGACCTGTTTGATCGTCCTCGCCCAATAGTAAGTCACCTTTCCGGTCTGGGGCGTCGGAAATCGACACTCCAGAGTCACATCCTCGCCCTCCCTCGTATCCTTTATGTTCACGGTAAACGCAACAAGGACATCTGCAATAAGAAAAAGAGAAAACGTTAATCACTGTTCTTATTATTATTGCCAACAAACTAATTTTACTAATTTTGACGTTTGGTGACAGTTGCTACAAGTTTTGGTTTAAAGCTCCATCTATAAAACAGCTTGAAACTTGATGAAATATGATAGCAGTTGGTGCACCTGAGTGGCAAATATCAAGGATGCAGCAAACAAGATGCAAACAGTTATTTGGTTATAGTTGCTACAAGTATTGGTTTAAAACTAGATCTATAAAACATCATGAATTGTGCGAGCTAAGTTATATAACTTCCTTTCACTCGTTTCGGAGTGGAAGGAATAGAACAGAAAACATCATGAAACCATGTGTACAGAGTAATTGATTAGTCTGAAAGGCGTCCATGTCAAAAATACCAAGGATGCTACAAGATTTGGTTTAAAGCTCCATCTACAAAACATCTTGAAACCTGATATAATATGACATGTGTACATAGCAGTTGCTATACTTGAGGGTTTGGGTTAAATATCAAGGATACAGGAAGAAAAATGAGCAAAACTTTAAAACGTTAATTGGTTACAGTTGCTACAAGTTTTGGTTTAAAGCTCCATCTATAAAACATCTTGAAACCTGATGAAATATGACATGTGTACACAGCAGTTGGTGCACCTGAGTGGCGTTCATGACAAATATCAAGGAGGCAGCAATCAAGATGAGCACAGATTCGAACCGTTAATTGGTTACAGTTGCTACAAGTTTTGGTTTAAAGCTCCATCTATCCAACATCATGAAACCTGATGAAATATAACATGTGTACACAGCAGTTGGTACACCTGAGAGGCGTTCATGACAAATATCAAGGAGGCAGCAATCAAGATGAGCAAAAGTTTAAACCGTTAATTGGTTACAGTTGCTACAAGTTTTTGTTTAAAGCTCCATCTATCAAACATCATGAAACTTGATGAAATATGACATGTGTCAGAGCAGTTGGTGCACCTGAGTGGTAAATATCAAGGATGCAGCAAACAAGATGAGCACAGATTCGAACAGTTATTTGGTTACAGTTGCTACAGCTATTATTTTAAAACTACATGTATAAAACATCATGAATTGTGCGAGCTAAGTTACATACTTCATGAAAACATTAAGAAATCTGATGAAATATGACATGTGTAAAGAGTAATTGATTCGCCTGAAAGGCGTCCATGTCAAAAATATCAAGGATGCTACAAGTTTTGGTTTATACTTCCATCATGTATCCTGATGTAATATGACATGTGTACATGGCAGTTGCTATACTTGAGAGGGTTTTAGTTAAAACATCAAGGATACAGGAAGCAAAATGAGCAAAAGTTCATTAATCCGTTAATTGGTTACAGTTGCTACAAGTTTTGGTTTAAAGCTCCATCTATCAAACATCATGAAACCTTACAAAATATGACATGTGTACAGTTGGTACACTTGAGAGGCGTTCATGTCAAATATCAAGGATGCAGCAAACAAGATGAGCAAAAAAAAATCGAACCGTTATTTGCTTATCCAATTTAGCAGATAGAAAAAAAAAACATAGAAAATAAAAGAAGGGCGCTTCGTTACCGAGTGTACCCTTCCGTTCATTCCATCCCAATACGGCTTAATTGGAGCATGAGGTTTTTAATTCCTTTCGCTCGCCTCCATTTCGATCCGTGCTTTAGTTTTTACTACTATTTTTTTTTGTCCAACTCTCTTTTGGTGACCACTTTTTGTATCCAATAGACTTTTGTTTCTTTTTTTTTGTTTCGTTCGAGGATGCGGATGGCACGGGTATTATTCATTTTGCGCTTCGATTGCCATCACCATCCATGCACATCGTTGTAATAATCATGAACACGCGCAAACAATAAGCAATGAAGAAACGAGAAGAAGAAAAAAAAATAAGAGTAGATGTAGCAGTTATTGTGGTGGAGCGAAGATTCAGCAAATGCCAAAAGGAAAAAAGAAATAGTACGGAATATGGAAGAGGCATGAACACAGACAGAGGGGGAGTGTAATGAATCAAAAACCCGACCACAAATTTCACACACCGCCAATTCCGAATGGCGATTCGCGTTGCACTTTCACATCGTGAAATGCACATCATAAATATGTATGATCGTATTGATATTTAAAGTAAACGACGTAAAAAATAGGAAAAAGAAGTAGTTTCTGGTGCTTTGGAAATCCTCTTCATGATCCATTGGAGATGCGCGAGTCGCTCTACTTGAACTCAATCTCATATTAGATGCATATGGAACAATGCATTGAACCTATGCATCTTTTATAAGCTTTCAACGTCACTATGAAAAAAATTGACAACCAGAATCCATTAATATTGAAATCACTTGATATTAGTTCAATTTACAACTTAAATCCAAATTACCAGTATAAATAATATAAAGATTCCATCCGAAAAGCAAATTATATTTGTATTTTTGATATTAGATCACTTGAAGACAACTTAAATTCAAATTACAAATTCCATCAAATAGTGATCAAATTATATTTGTATATACATTTATCTGGTATTTTTCTATCAAGATCATACATTTAATAGATCAAACTAGTTCTGCGATTTGAATAATCTCAAGGCTCGGAGGAATTGGATTCGAATTAATTAACGCAAGAATCCGAAGGTCTCTCTCTACTCTCGTCAACGTAACTGTAAAATAAACTGGGAGCCGTTTCTGAAGAGTTGCGTACAACGAAGTGGATGAATATTAATTCGTGTTTTTTTTTTATTTTCGGGACGCGATGCATTATGCAACGCCACCGCGTCCAGAAAACTATTTAATATTCCCGCGTCAAAACCCGATCTTACATAAAGAACGCATCGGAATAAATAAATAACAACAGCAACAGAAAACAAAAATCCATTCCGAAAATTTGTAAACGTCCGAAACGTCAGCTCAGAATACTCAATTTACTAATAAATAAACTTTCGTTACCTAAGCAACATAATGAAATGGTTCAATTACGAAATACCAACTTAGTAATACGTTGTTTGCATAGCAACATAATAAAATTTTGTTACCTAATCGCTAAGCAATGGAATAAAATGGTTGAAGTTGTTGCTAAGGAATTAGGCCCTTTGTATTATTGAGTCGCTTCGCATACAAAAGCATACATTTACCTTCCTCAATGTATGCGAAAAGTTTTCTTGTTGGAAAGAATAATAATAATAGAAAGAGAACTGTTACAACGCAAGAATGGGGGAGAATCCAACTTCCGGTCTGTTTATTCAGCGGGTGAAGGAAAAGCCCCCACATCTACCTTCTTCTTCTGTATACATATATTTTTGGTTGTTGTTTCGCATCAAGTTTGGGAATAAATAAATAACGAGAGAATCGCAAATGGTATTTGCAGAAGATATGTAAGAACAAAGACGCGGATTTGACGAGGCTTCAGGAGCATCCGATATCGGGATATGAGATTCTACTTGTATTTTTCTTTTTCTTGTGGTAATTCTCCTCATGAGCATCGTTTCCGGAACAGTTCGGGGGGGAAAAAGGCAATTTCTTTTCGAAGGATTGAATATTTCAATGCTCCAACAAATCGTGTTGTTTTGCACAACAACGACATCAAAAAAACCTCGAACGATTTACATTCAAGGACTTGCGTTATCTGACGTAATCCGTAACATTTAATACAAAATGTATCGAGCTTGTGATTTAGATTATTCGGGTAATTAATCGCTTTGTAAATGGTCGAGAGATTGCGAGGTAATCAAAGAAAATGCAACAGGTTCCAATTAGAAACGTTTGAAGCCGTTAGTCGACCTGCGGAGTCCGGCAATATCCTCAAGATTCCGAACGAATTATTTAAAAAAAAAAATCATTAGTTAAATGATGAATTAATTTTGTTTTGCATCAAACTTGTTTCGATGTTTCCAACCAAAAACGAAATCGTTTTTGTTTGATTGGATTCACGAAAATCGTGAATAATGTATCAAAAATCATAGCAGTCCGGAAAATATACACCGGGTAAAACGTGATTTATTTGCGGACAAATTGGATTTACGTTTAGTTCGAACTGTTTTATTGACGTTTCAGTTGTTGCAACGAATTTTATAATGAAGTAATTTAATTAAACAAAAAAAAATTACTGTAAGAAAATGCACTTAAACACTCCAAATACTTAAGAGCTATGATTATCATTATGAAACCATTAGTTTAATTATGATTGAATTAGATTGAAATGTAGAAGAGTTTTTTTTTTCTATATATTTATATAAAGAATTTTCGTTTCGCTATGTGAAACTGCGAGGGAAGGCTAATGAAAGGAAATGAGAAATCGAATCCAAGGATTTGCGTTTTTCATCCGATTTCCACTCGGCAATCTCTACATCGCGTCTTGCATGCACTTCTTTTCGCTCATTCTTTTCGTTTCGTACGGGTAACATCAGCAGTAGCAACATCTATTCGGAAAATGTAATTTTGTACATCCATGTGGATGTGTGTAATAAGAGAGATTTCAACGGTCGCAGCAGCGAGGCACAAGCTGCCGTCAGTCGCCTCCGGTTGGTTTAACGTCACAACCGGTTTCTTCCTCGAAGGATAAAAATGCACACCGGGAGAAGGACGTAGAGGAGGAAGGAGGGGAGGCGGTCGTCCGGTGTTGCCGTCTCTTCGACTATAAAGACACCTGCTCGGTGCGTTTCAGGATGCGATGATTTAAAAACGGTTTCGCCATTTAAAGGGGGACCGACCGACAGCAGATGATCAAAAAAAATGAAGCTATACATATACAGATTTACAGCATGCACTTATATAGTTTGATTTATTCAGCAATAAATATGTGTAATTTTTAAAGATTTTGTTCATACTGCATAAATACACCTGTTTTTTTTTTGTTTAATTGCAAACGAGCTACAAATTAATCTATTTTTAGAAGTGAAATTGGATTATAAGATTTAACATGCTTAATTAATCCTACAAATATATATTTTAAAACAATTTAACAGACATTTAAATCTACATGAATCTTTAATTGAAATTATGGTTA